AAGCTTAAAGTGGTGCGACATACAGCTACCAGCCAACTTGTCAACCGGATTTGGTCTAAATACGATCGTGTGAAATTAACAGATCTGCTCATTTATCATTGACATTACACAGCGGTCATGTGCCCGCATTTGGATGCAATGCCTTGCGCCTGTGTTACGGGATACCCTTGCTAACATAGATTACTTTTGTATATATAGCAATTGATTCGTGCAATGCAAGCTCGTCTTTTATCATTCACACAATATAACAGGTCCTCATAACAATACATAGGATGAAGAATAGAAAGCGAGTGTTTCTTTTCAATCGAAAGGACAATAACCCCCGTATAAGCAATGTTGTGTTGTGGGTGTGGGAGTGCTGTGGGTGTGGGAAAGCCTGTGGGTGTAACCTTAACCTCCGCTTATTTTTAATTGACAATTACATAAACCAGAGAACTTTCTAATATTAAAGCAAGTCTGTTCCAAAAGATGCAAATACAGTCTCCTGTACGTAGCTTTAGCAATGGTACTCTCATTGGGCGAAGAGGATAAACATGAGAGCAGAAAGTTTCACCAACCATAACGTTGTATTTTAGTCAGTGCCACATTGTTACAGGACAAAGTACTTGAGGACTTGTTTGGCGGTATGACATGAGCAAATAGTCATGACTCGGATGCTGCAGCAATCAAACGGTTACATTGCATTGCAGTTTCCCTAACAGCTCTTTGAAGAGTTTCTTGCTACAAGACTTCATACGATTCATCAACTTGATGGAACTTTACCAAGCTGTCAACTTAAACGACTTGTAATCTGCGTGTCTGTGTATCTTTTTTGAATTCAACATAAATGCCAAGCACGACGTTAAGTTCACTCGTCTTAAAGTATTACGTAATGATTAATCGAATTTAAATACTTAACCAATAACGTTAACCATAATTGTATCACATCATATTGTAACAATAACAGCACTTTCATGTAACATTACTTTCAACTCCCTTAAAAGAACTCGCAACTCGCTTGCTGGTTGAAAGGTCCGTGCACACACATTTTCATTATCATTCAAAATAGATAAGATACGTACAAGCAGACCCGCTTCCTTAAAAATGGTTGACTTTTCAGACACCGAGTCGAGCACGTTATACGAGAACACTGAAGATGAAATAGAAGTCAACATTCCAATATCACTAACGGATCCAATTGAGGCTGTTATGAAACCAGAAAATTTACTAGATAAATTTGTAGAAGTCGGCGGAAGGCATTACTTGAACGACGATACACTAAAATCACTAAAATATTATCTGCCCAGTGACCAGAAAGAAGTAAAAAGGACATATGACCGACATTTCGTAGACAAAACCGTGTGGGGAGGTAACTACTCTGCTCCCGTTTCCGATAGTCTATCATTAGGAGGAGCAAGTGTTCTTGATGTTGGGTAAATACATTCATCGCGACTAAATTTGATATACTGTACATATACATTCTGGATCGTATTAATGATTTCTATAACTAACCAGTTGCGGCGCAGGAGCATGGATAATGAATATGGCATCGGATTATCCTGCTTCAATATTTGTTGGAATAGATATCGCTCCTTTATTCCCCGAAGATTATCCACCCAACATGGCATTTCTTAACTGCAACATCATGGATGGTCTACCGTTTCCAGATAACACGTTTGATTTTGTTCGACAAGCATTTGTCATAATCTGTATCAATTGGCGATCATGGAAAGAGAAAGTGGTAAAAGAATTAATAAGAGTAACTAAGCCTGGAGGTTATATCGAAATTATGGATATACAACGTGAAATTGTAAATCCGGGAATAATAAGCGGAAAGATCGACGCTTATTGTAAGTATCTGACGAATTGTATGCGCATGAGTTTGAGTGTGTAGCTCGCCTCGCCTCGCTAAACCCGGTTATCCTTCCCCCCATTATTTAAAATTATAGTAGAGGAACATTTTTATAAAGCTGGAATCAATCGAGCGTCCCGTGCAGGTGTAATAGATACATTTAACGAGTTCAAGGATGAAGTGATTGTATCACCCATAGAAGAAAAAACATACTATTTTGGAAAGAAAGCAGGTAGAATAGGTGAAATGGTAAGTAAACAAAGTGTATAATATTTAAGGAAAAGTCCTCATGACAGTCGTTTATAATTAATTAACGCTTTGCTGTTTAGACACTAAAATCTATCATGGAGGCATATACAGCAATGAAAATCAGTTTCACTCATATTATGGGGATTACGGAAAAAGAGTTCGAACAGATGTTAATTGATTTTGAGAAGGAATGTAATGAAGTCCCGCTCCGCAAAGAACGATACCGTGCCATTATTCAAAAACGTTCGGATGCGTACGGCGATTGACTTTAGTTTTTATTTACATATTTATTTTAACATATAATTCTGCCATGTCGCACAACCTGCCAGGTCGTACAGACTCGAAGATTATCCCTTCATTGGACACTCAGATGGCTTCTCCTCTATAAATAGAAATATTATGGACTGTACGACGTGTGTCGGGTTGTACAGTACATGCGCCTGATGTGTATTTATAGTTTTGGTTAGCTGAAAAATTGTACGATGAATTTGTATTATGTTATATATAATTTAAAATTGAGGATTATTTGCCGATGGTTTATAGAAAAAAAGAGTACTTGTTGCGTCCTTGAAAATAACTTTGGACATTCTCGCACGCATAATATAACTTTAATTCTATTCTTGTCAATCACATAATTAAAGCCACAAAATATTATGAAACTTTATGCTTATCTCTCGGGTAGATAATTAATTACAAGATTAAAACTATTTTCAACAATAAAGCATTGCAATAAGTCAAAATGATAAAAAGGCAAGTCTCTGATAATGCCTCAACAAACCTTCTTAGCACAGCACAAAACAGCACAACTGGACAATGATAGGCTTTCTCTGATATATAAACCTTGTATGAATATCTGTAAACGTGGCGGTGATGTATAAGAGAACATCTCAGTTTACCTTTTTTTATTGAACCAGAGGTGTGTAATGTGGCCGCCCGATTCATCGGTCAGTTTAGCATGTTTTATCATAGGATAAATTTAATCTTGGAATCAGTGCGGAGAACTCATCCCAAGAGAAGTGTTTGCTCGATTCTCATAATTGCATTTTAAGGATGATATAATTCTGGTTTGTTTGTTTTTTCTAACCAACGTTTTACTAATTATCCATGTTGTTTTTAGTAGGTTGAAGTATAGTAATAGTATTCAAATGTTTACGATAATAAAGATTATTAATGCTAATTATAACAACGTTCTTAATTTTTGCAAACGTATCGGAATTTGAATCGGAGTTAATTTTGATATTGAAATATATAATAACAATTGATATAATAAGCAATTATTCTCTTTTACCATAACGCACGAAGTTGGACAGATTACAACTGTAAACATGACGACAGCAATAAACAAATAATTACATGTTGAATGGACGTCAATTGTAACGATAGAGGTAATACAATAAATAAGATAAATTTATTACAAAGACTTAACCATGTACAGTATGCTATATATACTTATATATGCATTCTCTAAATTACTCCAAAATATTGTACTTCTGGAATGGTCGGTACATGATTTCTATCTTTAATCTCGTTGGCAAATGCCCAAATTTTTACGAAATTATTCTCAATATAATGAAACTATAATTTCTTTGTTCGTGCTGTTCAAACAACAATAGTTGTTGCTTCTTCAAGTAATAAAGAGTTCCCATGTTCGTCTTTGTTGCTCAATTTCATAATACCATCCGGCATATCCCAATGAGAACACTTGTTAGTTTCTAGTTAAGTAATAATAAATATCAAAATACCCCAAGTTTGTGAACATTTATACCTAAGCTGAGGTTTTGGGATAAGCTAATAATCGAAAACGTTAATATGCGTAACGTTAAACTGGATGACTTGTACGAAAAATCGATGTAAGATTGCGTCGTATATGCAAAACTATTGAATAAGCTAACATTATATGTTATTGTTATCGATCTCTGTGTAATAGTTATAAATAATTCATTGCTATGCTTGTTTTATTGTCCGGGGTATTTTATTCTTTCTTAATTAATCGGTAAAATATTACAATCGTTATTCTTATTTATCGTTATTATCATCAGTGCCTGTTATAATAATTTATCGCTATACTTATTTTTATTGTTCAAATTATATTTTCAATGACAGATATGGTTAACAGGTAGATGTGGACGATGTAATGTAAGACAAATAAAATTTGAGGTTGCGGTTTATAAAATAGTTGGTTTCACTCTAAGCTCCTGCATTTTCATAACTGTATTCTGTTAAGATTTAAATAAACGGATGTGAAAATTTTATATACTGCTAACAATTTTATCCAGTAAACTCAAACCTATATTCGAACTCTTATAAATGTAATTTTTGTTGGTCACCCGTTGTAGGTACAAGTACAAACAGAGCCGCATTGCTTGTCAGCTTGCTAGGTTATTAATTTTTTTTTTGTTCGCTATCGCCAAGCAACTTAAGTTGACCACTTCTTCTTTGCTTATGGGCATTTTTGAATCTCTATATAGTCCGTATGTGATTTAGCAATTTGGTTTCTCGAGTAATAGAAATTGATAGGTTCTTTCTTTTGCCGATGACCAGTATCGAATTTGTTTTTCTTGGTATGGCAGTAATGCCTTATCTTTTTGCTTGATGATATTGGATATTGTGTATCGTCTTTATTTTATGTTTGTTTGCAATACATCTGTTTGTCAATACTACTGTAACCCATGTAATTATAAACTTACAGAGACTATCCACTCTCGAACAAGTGTAATCACAGTCTCACATCCAATAAAGAGCAAGTAATAATATAAAAAGATATTTTTGATATAACTAAAATGATGTTCCCCTTCCCCAATTTACGAATAACCAAAATTTGTAATAAAAAAGGTAATCATTAAAACAGGTTAGTTACATAAATTATTTTGATTATCGTATGGCGTTAAAGTAACGCCACTTTTCATGATATTCTATTACGTCATTGAATAACGGACAACAGTTTTTCCAAATCGATGTCTGCTTTCATAATAATTATCACGCATCCGTGACTCGCAGCATTTGTCGTTATACCAGTATTGTTGGCAAGAGCGGAAGAAGATGGTGTTTGAACTGGTGTTTGGGGGAGAGGATAATGAATGGCGGGCGAATTGTAATCAGTCAAATTATAGTCTGTCGGAGAGATTGGATTGTTAATTTCATCATTATGTTCAACGTATCCGCAAGCCGTGGTATTCAACTGTGCATTTACATCCGTGTAAACGTTATTATTGTTGAGAGGGCCAATGTCGGAAGGAAAAAAGACTTGACTGGAAGGTTGTTGACAAAGCGCATAGGAATGAACGGCATTAGAGTCACTATTAACTGTTTGATTCAATGAACGACTGTTTGCGTAATCCGGGTCTGTACTGTATGTCTGATCCCAATGAAGGCTGTCATACACCTGATCAGATAAAATGTTAGATGTATAACTTTCGTGAATCGATTTGTCATTAAAACTGGCCATGTGTCTACGGATGTTTAGTGCGGATAACGATAAGCGTTAAACAGCGTTTGGCTTGGAGATTCGACAGATATATTGTTAAAATGTGAGTTGGTGTAGTGCAGACGTCTGTAAAAAGGTTACTTGGTGGTAGAGAGAGATGACTTATGTTTAATCCGTTAACCCAAAACGTGCGTATATATGCGATTTTCGTATAGTTTCACAAAATGAAAGCTTCTTCCTGTTTTGGGAACCCTTATTTTCTCCCGTGTGTTTAAAATTGACATATAGTACACATCAGTATAAAAAGTTTGATACATCAAAGACGTATAAATAAATTAATTAGTTAATAAATAGGCAATTGTGTAATCCTATTTACCATAAGTACGACTGATGGGCTCGGCCTTTGCTTATTTGCCCGACAATTATTGGCTCGAATTATGAAGACAGAAACGGTAATAAATGATTAGACGGGGGGCAAATAACCAGACCCACCATTATTAATAATTTGTCAAACAATAAAGAATCTTTCCACTTTATTTGGCAAGAGCTTTGTCCCCTTTAACTTACCTACCCGCCAATTGCGGAGGCAAGCTGATGAGAGCACCCAAATTAGGCCTGAAGTATATATGTTGTACTATATTGTATTATGTTTAGTGTTAGCTGCAAAAATAAGATAGCTTGTGGTCGAACATTTTAAACTGGCATGTATCATATACATGATGCTTTAATAATACACAACAAACTAGTATATTTATGACAACGTATTGTTAAAATACAGTGCTTTCGTAATATAACCGTAGAACGTGAATGTAAAAGATATTACCATGTTTTTTAGTCTCTATCCTCGTCTTCTGGCTCTCGGTCTGAGAATTTCTTTCTGACCTCTAAGTCTAATGAATCGATTTAGGCCGCCCGTCATGTGGTGATGGATATAAAGTTAAGTTAGCGAGACGACGAAGGAGAGACTGTAGTGTTCGTTTTATTGGAGGTTTAGTGTTTCTCGAATAATAATGTAGCATGCAATTCGCAATATATAATATTGTTATAAAGTTCCACTGCGCCTTCGGGAGCCGACATTATGTGTTTGATTTGAGGCTGTTGCTGATATGTACCCCTGTATTTGTTTTGAAAGACCCACATCAAACAAAGCAGTTCTGTGATGTTCGGTTTACCAGCAGTCGTAGTCGTACCAACTGCTGTTACGTAAATAAAATCATGAGGAATGGATGATGGATCCAGGGAAATTTTCTAGAGTGAGAGCAGGTGTCATTAATGGTTTGTGCTGACGAATTCACCTTTGTGACAGTCTCGTAAAATAAACGACATGGACCAACGAAGTGACATAACATGGATCTTCAACATCGACTGGAATAAATTGGAGCATTTGTTTCAACTCGACTTAACGATTCCCATTCCGACCACAAATTCAGTTTGCGTATGGAGTGATACCTGGTGACTTCTCCGATTGACCAGAGACATGATGCTTTTATAGGCAATTAAAAAACTCGAAGGAAAATTAATAAGAAAAAAACTCGAAGGAATTTTTGTTGTGATAATGATACTCTTTTCAGGTAGGGTTTCAGATTCAGAAAGATATATAACACTTGTCTGTATAATTGTGTTTATGTTAATAATTTATTCTTATTAGTGTCATTCGTTGATAAAATTATCAGTATAAAAATTTGTTGGTTATTTTTAGGCAAATGCGATTGGTCAATGGACAATGTGAAAAGTGGTCGTGCGTTTACGATTTTCCCGAATAGCTAGCGTATACAATGGAAACAATTGATATTTACAAGATGGAACCCTTTTCAACAGACTTTGTAAACTCCTTTTGTATGTGTCTACACAATTTTTCCAAATCAGGTAACCCTTTTGAGAGCACTTATTGCATCTGTGTTGTTCTCGTTGTCTGAATTTTCAAGCGAAGCTTTGTTTCTGACGGGTAAGGTATTGAATAACCACAATATGTGACTTTGGGATTTTTTATTATCATGAATCTTAGTGCATTTCCAAGCGTATTCTTTATGACGAACGTGATGGTGGTGCTCTTATCTCCATGAGGGCCAACTGTAAAGTCAAGCTTGTTTGATGTAAGTTCCAGATCATCCACAATCAAAGACGCATCCTTCGGATTATCAACGAAAAATAAGTCTCTCACGATAGTAGATCGATGAACTCGGCAACAGAATATCCTTTCTCTCTCTTTTTTTATTCTACAGGCGATGTCTCAATCTCTACTCCGTTATTCTAATTAGAGTCTGAGTGATAATAAAGCGTGGTGTGACTTGATCGATTTTGTGAAAAAAAAAAAAGCTCTCGTGACTACCGATCTTTAAATTTCTGTCAGATAAAAGCCCATTAACAATATTAGAATACGTATAAGTATCGGGTCTCACTCCTTCATCCTGCATCGAGTTTAAGACACGTATAGCATTTTCAAGATCGGCAATTTGACGTGCACATTGATTAAGAGCGAATATGTAACCGTGTTTGGTTTTACTTTTGAAATTACCATATCTTTATAGATATCGAGCGCTTCGCTATAATTTGACTCTACAAGAGCATGATTTAAGAAAGCGTTGTAGTCTTGAATAGTTAGCTTTGCCTTAACCAGCTTCAATTCTAATATCCCATTCTTTTCCCTCCTCCCCAACTGTTCATAAAGCGTCAGGAGAAATACCAGCAACTTTCATTTCCTCAATGTTTCCAATGCTCACATCCTATCCTTGCGATCTATGAACCTTGATAAGCGTGTTGGAACTAATCCAGCATTTTCATTTCCGTAAAGTATTCCAATGCAAGGTCCATACGGGGGTGATTATGAGCGCAAACTTTGATAAGTGTATTATATATCTTTTCATCGGGTTAAAGTTGCTCATTTTTCGTCAGTTCGAAAAAAAACCTTTGCTCTCTCAATACGTGTCTCGCCTCCGGATACGTTGGTTGTCTTTCCGCATGCATCAATCACGAGAGTGTAAGATCGCAACGTGCGCGGAATTTGGCGCTCACGCATTTCGTCGAACATTAAAATAGCATTCATTGGAGACCCTAGTTTCGAATGAGCTAGTGTTATATGTTACGGTATCTGGAAAGATTTCGATCTTTTTTATTTTCTTAAACAATTGTCTTGCTGATTCCAAATCTTTCAACTCCACAAACATTGAAATCATGATATTGTATGCTGATGTAGCTTTGTCACTCACTAAATATCGTACGCATCAACCGGGTTTTGAAGTTTTGTTTAGAGTATTGCTATATCACTGTGTGTGTTGGGATTGATTTCTTCCCGTCTATCTGTCCTCGCCTTTTATAATATTTCGATCGCGAACGATTGCTAGCTATTTGCGTCGCTCATACGCAACGATGACTTAATGTTGATGACCACACATGATATGACGTAAATGATATTAATCTTATGGCCTATAGAAATGAATATTATTTATGTAACACTAACATATTGACGGAAGTATATGTCATCAATATCACGACCAATCACGTCTATTCGAAATGTCTTTTCCTCTTCTTTCTTGTAAACATCCGCTTTCATTATTCCTTATGGATTGACATGATCCCGTAATGATTTGCCTTTAAGTTCTGGTGTTATATCTGGGGTTGTTCCAGCATTAGGACTAGACACTGGCTTCTGTCTTTGCGATATATTGTGCTCGAGTCGGTTTGGTCGGATAAGCTGAATGTCCTTCGAGTACTTATAACACGGATGATTTGTCTGTTTCGAATAAACGGTAACATGAAATTATCGGAAATCAAAACTCTCCTTGATCATACAATGTCCAATTGCGGCGGTATGGTCTTTTAGGTTTCTTCCCTCTTGGTGGGGGGTGTTGGTCTATTCTTATATATTTTCCGATGCTGCTTTGTCAGCCGGTTGGGAGATGTTGAATCAACATTATCGTTATTAGCCTTCTTCATGTGGTTAACTACTACGTTACGAGTGACGAAACTTGAATTCGCTCTGTGACATATCTTTAAAGATTAAATTCGAAGTTTTGTAAAAATTTATTGCCTTTGCGCTTGTATCACTTGTTGCGTAGTATATATTAGTCTTTTTTTAAGAAAAGTCGTTATTTGAATACGGGGACTTGTTCTGCTGTTTGTTGCTCGATTTCATCTTATAAGCAGCGTCTATCGTACACCATTTGCCGTCCATTCATAAACTTACACTGAGCAACCTATTTATGTGCATTATGTATATATGTCAAGAGATTCGAAAGATGAAAGTGATGAAAGTGGTTTGAGATGAGAGATGAAAGAGAGAAAGCATTCGTTTAAATACGATGCAACAATGGGAAGATGAGTTAGCCATTTTCACCTAACAATACAGTCACCCTTCCGATTGTCATATGACATTTATTACGCTTTTTCGCAATTGGTTCTGATATAGTAAACCGCAACTTCTGCGTATAAAACTTACACAGCAGTCACGCTTCGTATTCAACTATTTCTATAGAGCAATATATTGGGCCTGCTGTTCACGTGTTCACATTTATCGTTGCTATTACGACTCGTATGACCTGTGATTTGTATTACATCATCCCTTGCTGTTCGGAGCGTCTACGTCTGATGATGACTATATAATATATAATAATACAAGTCCCTCGCGATAGTGATTTCTGTATTTTGATAGACTTTTGACGCCTCTGGCAACTGTGTCAAATGTAGAGTTAAAAATTGCAATAACCATAACACTTTGGGATGAGAAAAAGAAGAAAGAAACCAAGCAAGGGAAAACTAAACCGACAGACCACACGAGTGGTTGCGTGCTGAATTTGTTCATCTCGCAAGCGATTGCGTTTCCATTATTCATGGTAGCCAAACGTTTAACATCGAATGTCGCCGGAGAAGGATAATCGTATCCGACCGGATATAGAGACTCTTCAACCGGAAGAGGTGAGTCCGAGAAATTGCCGGTGTCATTGTAATAATCATTGTATCTATATAAGTGTTCATACATCCACTGAGATAAATATATGAGCCCCCAAATTGTTCGTCAAAAGCGTATGGATCCTTGTGGATGTCATCAGGCAGGCGCACATAGAACCCATTGCTTGGACATGTCAGTGAAATAGATTGAAAGATAGTATGGGGAGTAAGAGTAGAAGGACTCGATGGCGCTGATTCGGCGGTTTCTATCGTTTCAGCTTTGTTCGTTCTATATTTTCGTCATGAACGTCTTCTTATTATCAGCACTCTCTCCGAAACGGTTTGTATACTATCCAGGATTGATTTCGCTATGTTCGACTTTGGCTCTGGCAGCCAACTTTGTGAATAATTCCTTTACGTCATCGCTACTTTTTCCATACCTCACTGGCCAGTCCAGAGGCAATTGGAACTTGTAATTTTAAGGCGTCGATGCTACCCTGTAGCATTGTGCGGAAGATGAAGAATTTGTTTGGTGGGCGAGCCGGTTTTTCCGATGATTTGGCTTTTCGATAAAAAAACCGGTCGCGTATGTCTTGTGCAGAAGGGACAGGAAAGTCTATTTGAGCACCGTCTGCTAGATATACAATGACTTTTTCGTGCGAGTTGTCGAGGTCGGCATAGATAACGGTGATCTGAGTTGGATGAGGCTTATTGGATTGACTCCGTTGTCGTTGTGATTGCGTTGTTACTGGGAACATGGTTTCGAGTGTCGGATTACGCAACAACTATCTTATATCTTTCGAGGAATAGGTGCCTTTATGGTTTGCCGTGTTATTTATATTCTGTAAACACTTCATATTATCATTCAACAATAAAGTTTCCCCGTTCGAAAATATGGTTTCGAGTCGACAATAACAACTCATGAAACATAGATCACTCATTCTAAAATCAGGCCCGCAGTCCGACCGCTTGTTCTCTTGCCAATTCCATCATTATCAGCCAGAAACCGTCCATCATACTCTGATATCCACTATTGTCGCGCCAATCTATGGGATTACATCCATCGATGAGAGCTGGTTTGATGACTACCATTGTTGGACCTTTAGCATCCATCGCAGAGTTTATGGAATGTCAATGTGAACTGCATACGTTCGTCGATATTTGAGTGGATATTCAACGGAATATAAAGTTGTACAATATTTTTGTGTAAATTTTAACCCAATGACATAGATGCACATATGCATGTACAACATATTAATGAAAATACTTATCAATAGCTTCCAATGTTAAAACATACTGTAAATGACACGTGAGTACATCTACTTTTGTGTAGTAATTGTTGCCTGCATATTTGATTTATCGCTGCATTAAGTTGGACATTTCGCCTGCTAGGAACTTCTTTTCCTGTTCTAATTTACAAGATAATAATCACCAAAGAAATAGGAAAAGAACCAACTTGAATAAGCTCGTTCTACAACTTTAAATTCGTAAACATTCCCTAAAAACAATTTCCGCCTCTTACCCTCTTCGTTTCCCTTCTCTCTCTCCCCTTCTCGCTCATTTCAAAATAAACTTGGAGATGGACATGTGTTAAAGTTATACGAGTATGGTTGCAGGAAAGGATAGGCGGAAAAACCTACATATAAGCATGATTGAACTCTATTATATTGCCGTGAGAAATGGAGAATTAGTATTTACATTTTGCATGTCATGTTGTGAAGGCTTTCCTTTGTTTATCAGCCTGCAAATAAACAGTTGATACACGAGTTGCTATATCCTGGGAATATACTCTAATTCAATAGTGTTAATATAGTCTGTCAAAGTTGTTATTGGGAATTCTGCATACACGTGGTTGCACACACTTTCACAAATAATGACTCGTAGCAGCATAGCACAATAAATGCAAATAGCATAACACAGCGAATTTGTAGCCAATAGGAATAAATAATAAGAATCGTCGTCGGAAGATATGTTGATTGACCGTACCATCAAGTGCTAGTGAAGTGACAAAGTGACAACTCCGCACAATGGCATATAAGGTATAAGGAAAGCAAACATATGCTAAATACTCCGTTTGCTTATCTATTAACTACATGTTACTCTGTAGGAAACTGAAAGCTCAATTCCCTTTATGGCTAACTCGATGAGTTCTAGCTCAAAAACCAGCTATGTATCAAACACCTTGCCAACAACAAGTGCTCCCGATCCCTCGTTGACACCTCTCATGTCAACACCGAGCAACACCGCAAATCAAGGCAGTTTTCCTAAAATTATACTTCAATTAATGGAAGAAGGGCTTATGTCACCAGATGCGCAAATAAGAGAATTGTTAACGAACTTGAAATATTCCGAGAATATTTACGCACTCAAATACATTCTCGAACATAAAGGAGATTCTGTGTCAGTGGATATGTTAGATACTGCTTTGGAGAGTCTATGTTCTCAACAGTTTGATAAAGTGTTCTCAGGAGAAACAGCTATTAAGTTGGAATGGCAATTACGAATTATTGTAACAATACTGGAACTGTTGTGTCAAAATAATTGCCAATTTACATGTTCTTTTATTGATGGCATTAGACAAGCTGCTTCTAAGTATAAGAATGCACATTCAAAAATTATGCAGCATGTTGGAGAAACTTGGAAACCTAATTTTACAGGATCTAATGAATCTGACAAAACCATCAAAAGCTTCAAGTGCAATTACAATAACAGATACCTTCTCATGCTCATTAAAAATACATTAAATACTGTTTGTGATGATAAAAACCAGTACCAGACAAATATTAATCGGGCCATTACAGCATTAAAAGGTTTACTTGTTGCTGTCCCTGGATTGACCAAAGTTGGTATTAAATTAATTACAGGAGTTGAAGTTCCTCTTGGTGATTTTGACATAGAGAGATCCTGGAGGTATTTCAAAGAAGCATTTCAAGTTGAACCATTAGGAAAACCATGGTATGCAACCTGGAGACAGCTCATGATATTAGAAGACAGTCTTGACAGATGGTGTGAACAAGAGTCTGCCATCTCAGTAAGCTTTAAAGAAAGAGTGCTTCTTGAGTATCTTTGGTATCATGTCAGCTTATGTTATGCTGAAAATGCAACAGAAAATCAGGATGTTAGTGATGAACTCTGGTTTGGCATTTTGGATATTACCCAGCAACTTGTACAGAAAACATTTTCTACAACTACACAAGCTATTTGTTATTATATGGCATTAGACTCATTAAATAATGCAAACACAGAATTTATTCAGTTCAAATCCATTGAAGTGTTATTGAGTCTTGAAGCCAAGAATAATGAATTATTTGTTACAACACCTGATGATATTTCTGGTTGTGATGGGAAGTATATACCAAGAATGGTTAGCATGTACTACTACCTGAAAGAGAAATTAAAAATTGAATCAAAAATGATTTTAAAATATTCACCAAACCAAATAATGACAAGTGCTCAAAATAAAAAACAACAAGACAAAGGGAAAGGGAAAGGAAAAGGTATTGAGAAAAATCCAATTGACTTTATTACAGAAGATCTGACATGTGCTATTGTTTGTGAAGCAGTTGGTGACTTTTATCAGCTCAATTGCCAACATATTATTAGCTCAAAGGCTCTCTTATCATTAAACAACTTGGAGTGCCCTTATTGCAGATGTGAAATCAAGAAGGATAAAGTGTATTATATGCCACAACAAACTATATACAACAATGTTCAACACTATTTTACTATAACAGATACTGATTATCAAGACATTCATAATGTTGATACTGGAAGCAATACAAATGCCAAAATATTTGATGAGTGTGATGACCTCAAAAAACAAAAAAGAAAGAACAGAACAGGAAAGTATGGTTCTGAATCTACATGGAGTTCAATTTGGAAATCATTAACAACACCACGACCAAATATAGATAAGTTACATCAAAAAGCTAAAATTGCATATAAAAATAATGAGTTGGAAGAGGCTTTGAACATTTATTCACAAATACTACAAGCTGATTCCACAAATTATATGGCATTATGTAATAAGGCAAAAATCAAGTTAGATATGAAAATTTTTGGCAAAGCCCTGTTTGATATTGAGACAGCAATTGAAGTAAACAAGGTTTATACTGATGCTTGGTATTTCAGTTTAGTGGCACATGTAGGTTTGGGGAATAAGAAAGGAGCTGAACAAGATATTGGGCATATTAAAGGTTTAGATATGCAAAGAAAGGCATTTGATGTTATTAATGAATATGTAAACAAACTTGAACACTTTGATGTGCAATGGTTTAAAATTCTTGTGGATAGTTACCCTGTTAGAGCAAAGTATAAATTAAATGACATTGATCAATGGCAATCACTGTGTACCCATCAGTATAGAACAGATGATTACACCAGATCATACAACACTGCTGTAACTTGGCATAATGAGTATAATAATACTAAGTATAATCACACATGTATAAACGCGTTTTATGAAAAAATATACTATATGCACAAAAGTAAGGGGTTACACTTGATTGCATAAATTTATATATTATTATGCATATTAAATTACTTTATATTTATTATTATTATAGGTCATCTAAAAGCACATTTTACATTTGAAAGTCACATTGAAGATAGGAATAGATGCATAGTGTATGTAATTTATGATAAAACCTATTGTTATAAAAATATTGTTACTAATGTTTATTATTTAATAGTTATATGGGACATTTGTACATTTATGGGAATAATAAAGTAAGTAGTTAATTATTAATACAATAGTCTAATGCTTTGTACAATGTTGTGAATACTAATTAATAAATAATTGTATATTAGGTAACAATACCCATATTCCAAGTACCTCCAAATAAATACAAACTCAGCATTTTGTTAGAGAATTGGAAGTCAATGACAATTGTGGTAAGTATCGAAATATGTATTGTTTAATCTTAATTGTATAATGAGTATAAACATTTGGTTTTGTAGACAACAATAAAAACATCAATTGAAGAAATACAATATGAGACGGACATTGAAGTTAGGGAGTATGAATATGCTGAATACATTTTACCATGTGCAGTTAACCTTTTGTCTGAAGATGACATTATTATAGAATTTGTTATCAATGTAAGTCCTATTTATTTATTCATTAATATAGTGTAAAATACATTCAATTGTTCTAATTTTAACTCTATTTAAGCTATCCACGCGTATTTATTGGGTTTGTTTATATTCGGAAGAAAAGTTAGATACTATGGAGCATAACTTAAAAATTGAAACATTTCGAAATGGTGTAAAAAAGATTGATTATAGGCAATATTATTCTCCCGATGGAAACCATTCCATATTCAAATAACGCGGACGTTGTTGATAAGCGAGCGTATTTTACTATGTCGTACTGTATATTGTATCACGCGTATGTATTAATATTATTAAATATAAAATTATTCAATTAGTTCGATGCACGTCCTTACCGCGTATTTATAGAGGAATACTACGTATGTATAAGCCGGTCCGGCATCTTTTTCAATAAACCCGTGTAAACTAAGAAGTATTCTTTTGCGATGGTTATATAAAAGATTTATGCTTTATTGGCATTATTTAGACCAAGCGCTTGCTGATGTCAAGCCCAAAAGTAAAATTGTTTATGATGTTGTAATCAATTTATAACTAACATTCGTTGTTTTCATGCGATTTACAATGACTAAGTAATTGTTGTGCACATGACAAATGCAATGTTAATGACCGTCTTAGCATCTAAACTAAGTTGATACAATGTAGCACTAAAAGATTGAAACGAGAGATGTTTTAATAAAAGGCCACACTAACAGCCTTTATGCTTGCTTTGCCATAGATGACAATAAGCCCTCACCAAAACCTATCAATTCCTCTGATCCACTGGACGAGTTTTGCGAAACTTTCTACCCCAACGGTAAAAAGATTGTGCCTTTTAATATTGGCGAGCTGCACCACCACATTGTGGCGGCCGTTTTTGGGAGAGATGAACATACGCATCAAATGTAAACAAGGAATGTATCAATGCAGTGCTGGCGAAAAAGGCTGTTCATCGCACACACTTTACTGTTTTGTAAAACAGTGCGTTTCAGTGTATTAGTATGCACTTTTTACAATATATATAAAAAGTTATGTCAATATACAATAATAATGCAATCGTTAAAGCGGTAAAGTTACGAGCCAGATGCAAATGATTACGCTCTATGATGATTGTTACCGTCATTATATCTGGCAATATGGAATAAGTTTAGTTTCGAATATGTGCTAGATAAAACTCCTTTGGTTGCTGAGATCTGATAAAAACCCGTAAAGAATTTAATATCATTTTTGAATTTCTTTCTTTTACATCGTATCTGGCTGCTTATGTTGGAATGAAAAAATGCATTAGTTGCATTAACTACTTAGCAACGTTACTCGCCGGCCCTCCGAATCATAAATTCGGAGTCTTAGTTTTCTTATATTGGATAGCATATAATTTTCTTGCCCAAAACAGTCATATTTCGCTTGTGATAATAGAACGTCTTCGAGAACAGACTGTCATAAAAAAAAAGCTCGTGAGTTGACTTTTGAATACTTCTTATCAAGTTGGTCCACAGCGAGTCCCACAGCGAGTTCCACAGCGAGTTCCACAGCGAGTACAGAGTACGTTTTCGAATTTTTTAGCCACATCTCGATATGTGGAATATATAAGCTGTTAGACTGAATAATAAATAAGTATCAACGTCAAATTTTTCCATGTCATACCAACTTGAATGGAACTAGCAAATTAATTTATATTATACCACTCTCTTCAACCACTTGCGATATTTTTGCCCATACTAGTATTAATATCTAATAGTTGTTAAAGGTATAGCGCGAAATGTTTCACATTCTAAAATTTGAGTTGTATGTGTTTGCTCATCTATTAATTTTTTTAACTATCATAAAATGTTCTGGTATGTATCAGTATTATTTGTACTGAATATAATACCCGTGTATTCAAAATACCTCGAGTAATTATGTGGAGGCGAGCACTATGAAATTTTATAGTCTTCCATTGATTCATCAGACTGTTTTATCACATTCGTTTATCGTCTTTTGCAATAAGCTCTATTTTTCGTGTACTTACAGCGCGTTGATTCTCAAAGTATACGTCCGGAAAATGTATTACGTTAATCTTGAGTAAGCAAAGAAAGGCAACAGCAATTGTCAAAGTGAGCAATGTCTTGAGAAGACAATCGTTGCGGCATGCAATAAAGTATAGTATCAGGTTCGGATTCATGATGACTTGTATCAATGCTCACCTCGGTAGAACCTTGACTAGAAGAAACTATTGAGCCGCGGTGGTTGTCATTGGTTCCGTGCTAATTCTAATAGTGTTTATTAATGTTTTATTTTTAGATACCAATATGAGTAACTGAGTATCAACTATGTTAATAAATTATTCAAATTTATTAGTTATACGTAAATTCTCAATGTGTTCCTTTGTTTGCCTTTCCAATTGTTCTTCTTCAAGAATCTTTTTTATCAAATTCTCTCAACGTTTAATGGAAAGTGTTTGTTTTGAGATTTTCACATTATGCTGGGACAACAATTCGGAAAAACGACCAACTTGTGAACAATGTTATCATAGGTTAAAAAATATAATGGGAAACCTGAACCAATTACCAAAATGTGATATACCAATATGAAGAAAAGATTAAAGATCACTCTCTTTCTAATGAGTTACAACTTGTTACAACATAAAGGGAAAACTATAAAACAAATAGCTGATGCAAAATAATGATAATCAAGACAGTTCATTGGCTACATTAAAGGCTCATACTGATTGTGGACAATGCTTTCGTTTTTTATGCACATGGAATAGAAACAGAAACAGATCTTGGACAAGCTGTTCAATGGTATCAACAATCAGCAAAGACAGGCAATGCTACATACAGCACAATGTAATTCAGGCATCGGCGGTCACAGTCCACCCATAATGTCCATATTAACTCTATATCGAACTGTATATCTCTAAAAGGTGGTTCACCAGTGGCCATCAAATACGTAATAATACCGAAAGCATATACTGTATGTCTGATTTCTGTGTAAATTTGTAAGTATGAAAGACTTCCGGTCGGTGCAACAAAGGGTAAAATGCCTCGAACGGTTGAATCCGACTCGCGTGAAGTCACTGACCGAGAAACCGAAATCGCAAATGATAATAAATGATTTACTTGCATGAGAATCGTTTTCTGTCTCGGACGCACTGTTATGCAGAACAACATTTCCGCTACGGTGACAAAGGTAGAATAATTTATACGGGCGGAAAACCGGCCGATAAGACATTATTACTCACGTGGATGTAGCGGTGCCATTCCTCTTTGTCGCGAAATAATTTCTGCTCCAATAATACCAATAAATACAAAAATCGACTACCCAGGTCTTTTTACCTATTACATAGACTAAGACATTGCCCCATTTAAATTTGATGCTTCCCACACAATAAAGATCGAATTTAAACACGTCAGATCACTCTGAATGATGCATAACATGCAAGTGCTCTAATTTCATCTCCGATGCAAATAAGCCAAGAGACTACCATTGTTAGCATACTGAATAACGATCATGTATTCTTTCATCTCTGGGTCTTGCGTGAACTCCGTAAAGCTCGAGGAAACGAGCATGTACCGCACATATGATAACATGCGTGCAATATTATACCCGCGTTAGGGTGTCCTTAACTTACACCCCGGGGTGTACGATAAAAGATACATTATTTGCGTACACCAGGGGGTGTAAGTTAAATGGATACACCCGGGAGTGTAAGTTAAATTGGTACTCCCCCCCACGTACGGTTAATGTGAATCAGGGAGATAAAGTTTTGGCTTACTATTTAATGCTCATCATTAGAATATATCTTCTATACAGACAGAGTTCTCACATGTTGTACTATGTCAAGTTATTGGATATATATGTTGTACGCATACGGTATTTATTAATCGTACGAGAGACACATCCATTGATGAGTGTTTACTTACATGTTAGCCATAATCTTAAACGTCTATATTATTAAATGGCATAGAAATCTTTACAACAACACCTTACAGACAATAATCGTCTATTTTTAGTCAAATGTTCGTGCATGCGTCATCGTTGGCCCCGATGTATAGATATAGATAATGACCACAATGCTCTTTAGGAACCCTCTAAAACCATCGGAGCTGCGCAAAAATCGAGAGAAATTACGTCATCAGTTGACATTGACAAAACAGACTGCCAAATTACATTCTGAAAGTCGATATAGCGGATTGTTTGGGACCAGTATTTAATCCGGAATATCGACGAGTCCGGAATATCGACTTGCGAGTTTATATCAGATATTATTTAGTAAACAACTTCTGTTCCAGAGAAAAAGTCCGTTTTATTGACGGTCCGTTATATCGGTGGACCGTTATATCGACTTTCACTGTGTATTGTGCTACAATTCCGATCTGACACATATAAGATCTAGAACCGTAAGCGTAAAAACGATAAACATACTTAGTTAAAGCCGAGCGAACAATTTCTCAATGTCTATTTTCCATTTGGTGCATAATTAGGTTTCTTCTTGGGCTAAAGAAATAATCTCTAAATCGGTTAAGAATTCTTTCACAATATTAGCAAACAAATTATTTTTAAAAAAAAAATTTTATTTATTTATTTAATTTTTTTTTTGATAAGTACGTATATTTCTCTAATTACCACATATATGTCAGTTCTGATTTGACATATGTCAGTGCTGACATACAAACTTTCGCTTAGTCACACAAATTACGCTAAACGTAGCTGATACCAAATTATTATCATGCATACCGTTTAGACCTTGATAACAGAAAAAAAAACATCACAATTTGCATAATTTTACACTTACACCCTTAAGCGTAAACAGTGATAACGAATGTAAAATAATCCGAACAATATGGTTACTACTATAATTGTAATACGTTGTTATGTACACTATCGCTATTATTTGAAACTCAAATACCGAATGTATAACGACTAGAAAAATGGTTCAAAGCACAAATAAAGATCTTTGCAAGGCACCCGTTTTAATGTCTACTTGTAAGTTAATTAGTCCTCTCAAGAATTACTCGATATTTACAATTAACTATACTTGCTTGTCTTTATTAATGTGTTACGTTAGAATACAAAATTCTCTATTTCATAATAATCATATTTAAATACATAGAAAAAATTAGTTTTGAAACTCCGAAAAGACTTGGTGAAATTGCTCACAAGACAAAAAATTAGAGCTACTGAGCATTAAACGATAAAACTCTGTTGCCTGCGTTTTAAATTCATCATTTACTAATTCCTCGGGTTGGATACATTTTTTAATGTCTTCTAGCCAAAGTCGCTGCAACTCTTTTGTTTGCGCGGGTGATGTAAGTGCATCTACTTCCGGAATTTGGACAGTCAAAAATGATCGATTTTGGACTTCAAATCCGAACAGGTCTAAAAGATATTTAAACAAATAACTAATTGGTTTTGCGCGTGACCATTTTTTAAAGAGTAGCAAAAGCGATTGTTCAAACGGTACATTGGATGCATAATATTCGTCCAAGATAGTATCTGCATCTCTCAATTTGTCTGCATCCTCTGTATCGGCAAGCTGTGTATGGACAATTACGATTTCTTTCATCAAATATTTAACAACTGGAGACTTTGCACCGAACCTCAACATGTATCGATATATTACAAGTGAGTATTTAAGAGATTGGGATGGGTTATTGTCACCTTCGACAATACTGTACTTTTCAAATGCGGAAAGAATTTGCTTTTCGGGATCGTTAATCGAGTTGATGATATAATCCAGTGCATCGTTTTGTTCAAGAATTCTTGCCGGATTAAGCAATTCTATCAAGCATATATCAAGTATGTCTCCCTTGGATAAATTTCGAGCAATAGAAAAGCTTTCTATGAGACTCTTTCCGACGTCGACTAACCTCTTTTTGAATAGAAGGATAGCATTTCCAACCAAAGTGTCAGTCAGTAAAAATCCAATTAATTGTAAATCGCATAGTTTTTCAGCAACTGCTTGTCCTGAAGGAACATTAGTAGAGTAAAGATTTAGGAGAGTGAGTTGCACAACAGGGTTTTCCAAATCGTTGGTTATCTCATGATAACCAATTTTCCTCCAGACATTCAACAAATTTGGATAAGTGATTATCGCCTTTGCCATGATCTTCAATTCAGAGGCAGTTGCATAACCGTTTTGGGGAAGGTTATCTTCATATTTAGCAGAATTTTCGAATATATATGTTCGAAAAGTTGGCTTGGGCGGAAAAAAAATGAAACCGTAAACTTCAATTATTGTTTTGATATCGTTTTCGTTTCCTCCTTTTTTTAACACTTGACGGATTGAATGCATGTCATTGTGGTTGTTGTTTCTGTATCCTTCCTTGAAATTAAGAATTCGTTCGTATACATCATTGGAAATATTGTTACCCCACAGACAGTGTTTTCCATAAACAAGTTTTAGTCGTTGAACAAGGTACCGGCTGACGTGAGAATTGTTCAACACAAGTTCAACCACTTCAAGATTGAGGAACGGTTCACCGATTCTTACAACATGAAACAAAGCATGAATACGACCATACTTGTTGAGTAGCCATCTATATTTTGTATGTGGCGAATTTACTACGCTGTACCATTCGCGCGAGCATCGTGCAAAAGAGGAAGGATTTTGCACGTAACTTGTAATTTCTATTTTGACTTCCGCAGGTAATTTATCCATCGTCATGATCCAAGCAAGCTAAGGGAGAAGGAGAATTTATAAGGTCAGGTTAATTTACAAACAACGCCATTACCCCATGTTTGGCTATTGAGTGCATGCTCCAGAAGGTATAAAGCTGAAGTGGAAGGTCGATATTCAGAACATGGCAATACCGGAGCCTTTGTAACACCATGCTATTCCTGGATTTTATTTAGTTGCACCTACCATACCAGTCGTAACCCACACCAAATTCAGTAAGCCAATGACTGCTCGTAGCATATCAGCGTTACGTTACTATTGTGGTACCAGCTCATGGAGATAAATTAACCTCGTTTTTACTTTCCTAATACTAACTCTAACAAATACCAATTACATTCCGTCATTTGAAACTAAATGATTGTATTTTAAGTTGTTATTCTTAATATGGAATGTGAAAGCCAACTTGTGTTCACATTACAAAGTAACACAATTAAAGACTGGCGTAATACAATTGGTAATTTGTTTTACTTTAATTTTTTTTTTTTAAAACCTAGATATACTTATGCATGCCGTGGCTTAAAAATTGAAGGATCGAAACTAGTATAAAGAGCCGCTTTTCGAGCAAATTTGCGTTATTAAGCTAGCCTGCTAGTTGGAAATACTCAACCATTGAATATGTCTTAGAAAATGATCGATGTTACTTGACATTCGTTTAACTCGTTGATTTTGAGCAAATACGAGATGCAAACGCGCGTGTCGAAATGTAACTAGACTTTTGCATTAACGCTGCAGAGTTGTGAATTATATCTGTTTAATTCTCGATTACTGAATAGAGTAAGGTTACTCTCTTCAATAATTGCCTTTATCTATGTCTGAATGCTCATCGCCAGCGATAGCGTTGATGAAAAGACCTTAAATATACACACATTTGTATATTACAGACATAAGCAAGGCGATGAAGAGAATATAGTAATTTGTCAATAATAGAAAGAATATTGCAAAATTCTTTCTAATCGTTTCAATGCAAAGCATGCAGTGACTTCAGATTCTCTTGCTGACAAACGTATATTAAATCAATTATCAATATTAAAAGGATTAAGTGTTCCGAGCAGATAGGTGTTGTGTTTGTTTCTGGCGAACGATATTTGTTATAACGGTTGAATTGTTCCCAATATGGCAAGTAAAAATTATAAAAACTTTTCGCTCTATACATTCGAGAATGGTTCACCACGTCATCTAAGCATTTGGTAAAGTTGTGTCTAGGCAACGACGTGGTAGAGAATAATTCACGTGCTGTGGAGAAATTACAATACCGTATGTGTATTTTAGCCTACGGTAGAGTTTATGTTCTCCAGAGTTATTGGGACTATGCTTCGCTGAGTGTGAATAACTTAATGCATGTGGAGTTATAGCTCCTCTGATTCTAAAGAAATACGCGTATAGTGTCTATTTACTAGACATATTAGTACGGCTAGGTACATACAATATGCAAAGTGTTAACCATTGTGAGACCACAATGAAGCGATGATGGATAAACCTCATGTTAGGTTCTATTAGCATTGTCTATTGGTGGGTATTTGTAGAATCAGAATTTAGTCAATTCTGATGACACATGTTAGTTCAGAAATGGACATAAATTGTGATTCGACATGTGTAATAGGGGAACTCTGTATTATTATATGCTTGCAATATATCCCCTGCATGTATTCTAATTATATCATGCCAAATGCAGAACCTTCATGCATTTTTACTAAATGCGTTGGATAAAATCTGACTTCTTTATTATCGGAATTGAGAGGTTACAATATCTGCTGTTTGAGCATAAACTAAACTTGTTTGTTAAACGTTATGAATAACTTCTTGTTCAGCATATGTCAGACAATAGATAACAGCACAGTAAATGAGCGTACAGACACATTGGATTGTACTCAAGAATACATAGAGCAGTAGCATCATCCGATATGATAATATTGATGGCAAAGTAGTTTATTCAATATTTTTATATTATTCCGAACTGACATATGTGTCAATTCGAATTAATATAACACTGGACTAAACATGTCTACTAAACATGAGGTTTCTTCTCATTATGGGCCTGTGTGATTAACAATTATATGAATCATGTTTGTATTCGCTACACAAACTTAACCACACATCTAGAGAATATTCCCGATCCCTACATCTTCCTTCTAAAATTCAGGATAGCATACCTCAGAATTTAGGAACTGACATATGTATGATGTAAGAATATAGTTTGGCATTCTACTTCAGTCTTGTCAGTTCTTGGATTGGACATGTTGTGCGCACACTAATGCTACGGATTGATAGGTGTGTTTAGTTACATATCTACAAGCAACAATTCAAATGTCATGGGGTAACATCTATATTATTCCGTATTCTAATAATGTCTGATCTTATTGGAATTAGTTTCATTATTTGAATATCTCGAATACAGTCGTAGATTATTTTCTGTTAACTGAATTGTCTACGCAATTTGTAACTATTTGTTGTGGTTATTGATACTTTCAAAATGTCAATAACATCGTCTGAGATCCCAAAGTTGTACAAGTGGCTCTCGATATAAGAACCCTTTGATACGAGAAAGATAGCCTATAAGAAAGCTTTTTGGCTGGTCCCGATTTTTACTATAAAAACTTCTCTTTCTATGAGAAAGTTTTTATAAATCTTTCGATAATAGATATAAGAAAGTCTCTCTCGATATAAGAAGAGTAACACTTTCCAATTTTAGAATAACGATCTGTGATGGATGATTGCAATATATCAGATAACACTAATTTTTATTGGAAGACTTGAGCAGCCAGCGTACTCTGAAAAAAAGGAGACCGAAAGAAAAAAAAACCGGGTAGACCTATTGAAAGACCAAACGAATCACACTGACAAAGGTTGAGAAAGCTGAACTTTGTCGTCTAAGACAGAAAGGTTTTACTCAACATGTTCTAGCCCACAAAATTGGAATTGGTGAATCGACAGTCTCAAAGGTACTTAAAAATCAATCATATTGGTTATCAATTGATCCCAAGTCCCGAAACCGCTTAGCTAACTCTTCTATACTCGAAGAAGCACTTAGTCTTTGGGTCTCGAAAGCTGAGTTACATTATCAAACTCTCACTGGCGGTATAATTCGATGTAAAGCTTTTCAGTTTGCTGAGCGACTACATATTGGGAATTTCGGTGAATCAGAGGGGATGGTTCCCGAATTTTAAGAAAGATTTACCATAAAAGAGTATAAAAGACAAGGAGAAGCTGCTAGCGCTCTAATTGGTAAAATTCCAAGTTATTGTAACGAATTAAGGAATATAATTTAATCCCCAAAGATGTGTATTTCTGTGATGAGACGGCGTGTGTCGAGCCAGACAAAACCCTTGCAAGTGGTCCATACCACCATCAATAATAATAATACGTTCATATCACACGATATGTGTGAAGTAAGTAAAAGTTTGCCATATCATTTACACACCATAATAATACCTCAAGATTATCAAGTAGAACCTCGTCAACAAAAAAAGGGATCGAAGCTTGACAGGGAAATTGAAAATCAACGAAAGTCAATTATTGTGAAGTTCATCACTTCGAGTTCGTATCTCAAATAGGACCTAAATCAAAAGACTGAACGACGTATTTGTTGGATATCTAATATTCATTTAAATCATACTTGTCGTACCGCACAACAATACGATAAAGTTGCTTTTTTCCAAATTATAAGTATTATATGCCAAACCCCTCCTGCTCTCATAACGCATAATTTTGAGAATATTGAATATTACAATTCAGACTGATCTTATTTTGCGTGTATCTGATAACACATACAACAATACGTATATTTTAATAAGCATGTGAATTAAAAACTTGCCGCACTATTTGTGGATGCACAAATTAGAATCATTACTGTATACTGTATATTGTTATTTCAGCATACAACTATCATATCATAATCTGAATAAAGTTATGTCAATATCACTTCAACTTTTCCATGCCTTCGACTTAACAGTAATGTTCAATAATAAACCAAATAATATACAGCCCCCACCAACCATGTTCACAAATAAAAGTGCGTAGTAAGGCAATTTATACAAATGGTACATTCACATCTCTAGACGGTGACAACGCAACGAAACCTTTAAACCTCACGCTCGCCCATATTAAAACAATCAGTAAAAATACGTCCAAACTTCCGACGAAAACCACCGCCACCAACCACCCAACTACACGTTCATTGACATCGACACCATACAACACTCGTATACAAACCTTCTAAAGACGATATGGTATGTATAACAGCTTTCGGATCGATTACTAACGTCGTCGCGAAAAATGATATGTGAAGTAAGTTACATCTTTCGTATAAATTTGTGTTTGTTAACTTACTGTAATACGATTTCAGATATCAGCCTACAAATGTCAAAACACATGTCATAATACCAAATCCCTTCTACAAAACTCTACTCGTATAAAAGGCATGAAGAATCTACCACTCCATCATCCTCTCACATTGAACACATATAACCACCATCTCCGGCGACTCTCGGAGGAAAATAATGTAAACAAACGAAACTTTTGCTATACTTAATTTTATATTTACGAACAGTTTATACAAGGACGTTTCGTGACGGAAGTTGTGTACAATTTTCTCCATCGGTATAGAATACCGCGTCTATCAAATAACGACCATCTTAATTAGTTAGAAGCCATACCACTTAAAGCTAACAATAAAAATTCAATGCCAATTGTAAAAATTTATATTTGCTTTTCCAAAGATCACTAACAACACGATCAAATAAACTCAAATTCGCAATTCACTTGTTTATCACCAATCGTTGACAGGTTACATTATTCGACATCCAATCTTATGCTGTAACTTTGAAGAACCTACTGAATTGACAGTGAAAACTAACTCATGTTTATGCATTCACTAGTCATGCAAGAATAGAAGGCAACTGTCATTAAATTGCAATCATGAAAATGAAGAGGCAAAGCCTCTTGATACTTAACTACTTATGACTCTACTTTCTGAATAAGATAAG